CCGCGTGTCCCCGCCGCCCGGTCCCTCGGGCTCCCGCGGCCGGGGTCCTGCTGGCCGAGGTCACGGGCCCCGTGACCCCGGAGAACCGAAGTGTATTTCCTCCCCCGGCTGTAAAGCCGGCAGCCCCTGTGGCCGCGGGTCAGCTCGCTGGGAGAAGTGTCCATTTAAAAATGTGAAAGAAAATGCTGATGGCCGTTGAAGCTGCATTATGGCTCGTGGGGATTCATCATCACGTTCTCTCCACTTTTTTGTATTTTTTACGTCTTTTGTAAAATATAAAAGGTGTACGTTGTGTGTCTATAGTGAGTTACGCTTCAGTATAACTCGACTATACGTATAAAAAGACATAATCCAAACATTTAGTGTCTTAAGCCATCACAAATTTATTACTTTACAATTCCATAGATTGCAAATTTGGTACAAGTCCTACTGAACTCAAGGGGAGAATTGTTTCCTGCTAATTTGATCCGCGGGCAGAATTTATGCCTGCAGCTGGAGGCGGCCCCGGGCCTCGCTGACCGGGAGCTGAAGGCCCTTCTAGCCGCTTCCACGGGCCGCCGGCGTCCTCTCCCAAAGCCCCAGCGGGCCCGGCTGCTCAAGACACGGGGTTAGACTGGATCCGCCTGGACAACCCAGGATAATCTCCTGATCTCAAGCTCTGGAACTTTACATTTTCTGCACAGTCCATGTTGCGGTGTAAGGTAACATTCACAGGCTCCAGAAGTTAGTGCGAACCTCTGCCTACCACCATTTAGTCTCTGGTCCCCAAAGATTTACATCCATCAACATGCAAAATGCTTCATCTCCCATTGTCTTATCCTATAACAGCATTAATTAAAGTCTAAAAACCTCATCTACGTCTCATCAGTGCAAAAGTACTAAATACCACGGTCCATGTCTTCTAAAGTGGGTAGGAGCTGGTGTCCCTAATCCCTTCCTGTTTGTCTGAAATCAGAGGAACAATGAAATACTTAGATAACAATGCTGATGAGATTAGACGAGACGGGGCTATTCCGGTTGTTTCTCAGGGCTATAGCAATGGTATAAAGAACAGAAAAGCTCCAGATGGGAAATAAGGATATGGAAAGAAATGTGGGTATACTGATTTCTTAAGTAGGGATTTAACGGGTATTATAAGGAATGGAAAATTTAAGAAATAGGAGCTTAGCCCTGGATGGGTGGCTCAGTTGGTTGTCCTGTACACCCAAAGGCTGTGGGTTCGATTCCAGGTCAGGGCACACACCTAGGTTTTGGGTTCCATCCCTGGTTGGGGTGTGTATGGGAGGCAATGGATTGATGTTTCCCTTCCTCTCTCTCTCTTCCCCTTCCTCTCTCTCTAAAATCAATCAATCAAACAAACAAACAAACAAAATAAAACATATCCTCAGGTAAGACTTAAAAAAAAAAGGAACTTAAATAGAATTATCTGGAGTCTCCTTTATAAGGGTACTAATCCCATTCACGAGGGTTCCACCCTCATCAACTAGTCACCTCTCAAAGGCCCAACCTCCTAAAACTATCACTTTGGGGATTAGGTTTCAACATATTTATAGAAAAATCAGTACTATAAAAATATCTGAGAAACAACAAGAATTGAATAGGGGGGTTATTTAATAATATTGTATAAAAATAACTTTCCTATATGCAAACAACCAGTTAGAAAAAAATATGGCTGGAAAGATCCAATTTACAGTAGTAAACAAATCTATAGAAGTACATTTAAGTATAAAAGAGGAAATCTTTCAAACTCTTCTAAGACTAGAACAATATATATATAGCTTATTCACTCATATATATATATATATATATATATATATATATATATATATATAT